TCTTAGGGAATTCCCCATGAGGCCATAGGTGCAGGCTGGGAGAGAGAAGGTTGTAGCAGGAGGGAGGGCCATGGGCATTTGGACCACTTCATGTAACTTGTACCTTCAGAGCCTGCTCAGGCCTCATGACATACATACTGCTTCCATTTGATGACAGAGTATTGCTGTGCACACCCAATTTTACGGTTTGTTGAGCCAGATAACACCCAGTTCATGACGGACAGGGCAGGTCCATGTTAATTCAGTGGCCCATAGTCAAGTGTTCAGTCTCTAGTAGGCCCAGTAGCAGACCAAGACCTGTTTATCATAAGAATAGTAGTTATCTGAGGATAATGGCAGGGGTTTGCCTCAAAATCCTAATGGCCTGTATTGTGATTGCCTATAGGAGCCTGCCAAAGGCTTCAAACCACACCCCTATCTGCCACTGACGCTTCAAGCACCAGTGGATCTGCTGGATCATATGGCCCAAGTGACAGAGCAGCTTGCACAGCAGCTGGACCAGTTGCAGAACCTGCTCTTGCTCTGGGCCTCACTCAAAACTAGCAGCCTTTTTGGTCCCTCAGTAAATGGGCTGGAGTAACACACTCAGATAAGGAATATATTACCTCCAAGATCCAAAGAAGTCCTCTAGGTGTTATGACTCTTTCTTGGTTGTGGAAGGGGCCAGACGCAACAACTTACCTTCACCTTAGAAGGGATATCTCAAAATGACCCACACCACTGCACCCTAGAAATTTCACTGAGGGAGAAGATCCTTGAATTTTAGTCAGATTTATTTCCCACCCTCTAACATGCAAATGTCTTACCCTTAAGTCTAGAGTAATTGCTACTTCTTACTGACTCCAATCAGGATAATATCATCAATGTAGTGGACCACTGTGACATCTTGTGGAAGACAAAATCGATTAAGATCCCTGAGAACTAAATTATGATGTAGGGCTGGTGAGTTGGTACACCCCTGAGGTGTAGGTAGGACAGTGAAGGTGTATTGATGGCTTTGCCAGGTGAAACAAACTGCTTCTGGTGGGCCTTATGAACAGGTATGGAGAAAAAGGCATCTGACACATCAATAGATGCACACCAAGTACGAGAGGAGGTGTTAATTTGCTAAAGCAATGAAAACACATCTGGTACAGTAGCTGCAATTGTAGGTGCCACCTAGTTAAGCTTATGATAATCCATTGTCATTCTCCAAGATCCATCTGTCTGCTGCACAGGCAAAATAGGAGAGCTGAACGGAGATGTGGTGGGAATCACCACCCCTGCATCTTCCAAGTCCCTCATGTGGCACTAATCTCTACCATCCTTCCGGGAATGCAGATTGCTTTTAATTTACTATTTCCTAAGTAGAAGCAGTTCTAATGGCTTCCATTTGGCCTCTCCCACCATAACAGCCCTAACTCCACAGGTCAAGGAACCAATGTAGGGATTCTGTCTGCTGCTAGGTGTGTCTATTCCAATTATGTATTCTGGAACTAGGGAAATAACCACAGGATGGGTTCAAGGACCTACTGAAACCACTATGAGATGGATATGAGATAAAACTCCATTGATCACCTGATTTGCATAATCTCCTACTCTGACTGGCTGGTCATAGCAATATTTTGGGACTCCAGGAATCAGTGTTAGTTCAAAACCAGTGTCTGGAGTCACCAGAACGTCTGATTTTTTTTCCCCAAACGTGATTACCCTGGTAAAAGTCAATAGGTCCCTTTGGGGAAATCTGGGAGAATTTTCAATAGTGTACTGGGGTCCTTTCTAGAGGGGACCTGGACACTCCACCATTCAAAGTGTTCTGGGTCTGTACATTGGTTCAAGTCTGGTAATTGAGGAACCATGACTCTGTTTTTATGATTCAGGTTAGACTTTTGTTCACTGGACCTAGAACTTTTCTGCTTATATTGATCAAGTAAGAATGTAGTAGGCTTCCTATCTGTTTCATTCCTGAGAATATCATTAACAATTAGCCAGTGCCATATGTCTGTACAAGTCAGCCTATTCTGATTAATGTTTTGACTCTGCTGTCTATTAATGCAACCATGCCCACCTTGACTTTGGCGGTTGAGGGCCACCGCTTGGCTCCTGCTACCCTGAAATCCAATTACTCCCATTGCATTTAGGTTTCCCAATTCAGTGACAGCAGTTGCCACTGTGAGGTCTGGCCTACAAAGAAGAGCAATCACAGAGCTCTTCGAGGATGCCAGAGTTCCCCTCACAAATTTATTTTTTACAATATTGATGAAAGGTATGTCTCCTGGACTCTCGTAGTGTGGGTGTGTCATAAATGACTAATTCACTCTGATATTCCAATATCCTTAAGCCTTTGAATCCCTTCCTCTACATTAAACAAGGCATGTTCTGCATATCCAATTCACTCATAGTGAGCCAACTTTTGATTCATGTTTTAGCCAACCAAACTGTTAGAGATCCTTCTAACTCCCTAAGTTGAGTTGCAATATTAAAAGTAGCTTAGTGAGCTCGTTATCAATAAATTCAGTCTAACCCAACTTTATGTTCCTTCCATTATTTTTTTTATTTTTATTTTTTTGAGACAGAGTCTGGCTCTGTTGTTTGGGCTAGAGTGCTGTGGTGTCAGCCTGGCTCACAGCAACCTCAAACTCCTGGGCTCAAGTGATCCTTCCTGCCTCACCCTCCCCAGTAGCTGGGATGGGACTACATAAACACTCCACCATGCCCAGTTAATTTTTTCTATTTTTAGTAGAGGTGGGGTCTCGGTTTTGCTCAGGCTGGTCTCCGATCCTGACCTGAATCGATCCTCCTACCTTGGCCTCCCAGAATGATAGGGTTACAGGTGTGAGCCACGGCGCCTGGCCTGTTCCTTCCATTATTTTCCCACACCCTTGTTATCTATTCCCACACATACCCCCCTGGATTGTTCTGTACAAATTAGAAAACTCAAGTAGCTCTTTTGGAGTATAATGTACCCTCTCATGGGCTGCATATTTTATATCTCACCTTTAAGGGCCTGCTGGGATTTGAGTCTAGTTATAGATACAGGAGCAAAGAGAGAATCAGCATTGTTTTACCAGGCAACTGCCTCAGGGGAGGTCATTACAGTTTTCTCAGGCATCTCAAACAATGCAGGTTTAATACCACATGGAAGGGTGACACCTCTGCTATTGAGCATGGAGATTCTGCTGGGGAATGAAGACCCCTTCCACTGTTAAGGAAGATTCATCAGAATGCAGGGGCTCAATGTCCCCAGCTTCATCAGGGTCTTCCTATACAACCACATCCCAATTTAGAGGATGCTATTTTTTTCCAATCAATGTTCTCACTTCAATAGCAGACACCCTGCAAGGCTGGACGTTTAACTTGTGTTGTAATTCAGCCAGTCACAGGATGAAGTTCTACCTTTGATTTTCAGCAATTTCAGCCCTGCAGCTATAGGAGATAAGAGTCGGGCGCGGTGGCTCAAGCCTGTAATCCTAGCACTCTGGGAGGCCGAGGCAGGTGGATCGCTCAAGGTCAAGAGTTCGAGACCAGCCTGAGCAAGAGCGAGACCCCGTCTCTACTAAAAATAGAAATTATTTGGACAACTAAAAATCTATATAGAAAAAATTAGCCGGGCATGGCGGCTCATGTCTGTAGTCCCAGCTACTCGGGAGGCTGAGGCAGTAGGATTGCTCAAGCCCAGGAGTCTGAGGTTGCTGTGAGCTAGGCTGATGCCATGGCACTCTACTCCAGCAACAGAGTGAGACTCTGTCTCAAAAAAAAAAAGAGAAAAAAAAGAGTCTCCTTCAGGACACACACAGACGCTCATAAGTCATTTATGTACTGCTTGAGCTGGGATTTCATATCCCTGAGCTCGTCTTTTTCTTTCACCACTTTGTCTAGTGTCATAGGAAAAACCAACCAAACCAAAAATGTTTGAAAGTATCATATATACAGTCACCTAGCTCCTCGCTTCCTCCAAGTGGTTGATTAGGAGTAATCAATGCAGATATTTTACCTATCTCCATAAACAGTTTGTGCCACGGACTATCTATCAATGTTCTATTTACTGTTGGAAGTAGAGTCTAAGCATCTTTAAATCTCATCAGATTAGAGAGTCAGAAACCCCAGAACCAATTCAGAAACTCATCCTTAAAATTGTTTATATATATGTGTGTGTGTGTGTGTGTGTGTGTGTGTGTGTATAAAAGATTATGAGGAACTGACTCATTATGGAGGCTGAGAAGTCTCATGACCTGCTGCCCACAAGCTGGGTTTCAGGAATGCCAGGACTATAAATGAGTCTGAGTCCAAAGCCTGAGAACCAAGGGAGCCAGTGGTGTGAAGCCCAGTCTCAGGCTGGAGATGAGATGAGGTGTTCTAGTTGAAGCAGTGAGGCAGGGAAAAGAGAGTAAATTCCTCCTTCCTTGGCCTTTTGCTCTATTCAAGCCCTTAATAGACTAGATGGTGCCCACCCACACGGAGGAGGGTAATCACTTCACTAACTCCACAGGTTCAGATGCTAATCTCTTACAGAAACACCCTCACAGACACACCCCAAAATACTGGTTAACCTGTACCCTGCAACTATTGCCAGTCAGGCTGACACATAAAATTAACCACCACAACCTTCCAACCACAGTGGTATTCATTAAGGAAGGAGGTATTGATACACTTAACAACCATTATCTCAGTCTTCCCTGATTGCTGCTTATTGGGGACGATGGAAATGATTAACAATTGCATGTGGCACTAGCAGTCATTTAACCTTAAAATAAAATTTAACCATAAAAAGGAAAAAAAAAGGCAGAGAAGGACTAAGCAGAAAAAGTGGGGGGAAAGGCCTGAAAAGTTCAGAGTCTGCCAAGAAAATGACTTCAGGAATTCTTAGCCATTGATTCAGTAAATTTACTTTCAACAACTTCAGGGTTACCTCAAACTATGTCAAAAAGGATTGAGTATCACAGTTTAAATACACTTTCCTAAAGAGAAACCAATGCGCAGAGCGAGCAAGGTATCTGATCCTTGTTCAGCTTCTCTCTTACCTGTCTCGGTTATTTAACTTACCATACAATGTTGCCATACACGCGGGATGCTCTGCATCGGCTTTTGCCTCCACTAACCTTTGCTCTACAATTATGTACAGGTAGAGAATACACATCTCAGCCAATAAAATGTAATTCCCTGGTGCCATCGCTAGATGTGACCATGACAGAGCCATACACAAAAAAGACAATGGCATGTTAGAGTGGAGGGAGAGCTGGGGATAACTGAAAACCTGATTCCTACAACGCTTTTCCTTTCAGACAAAGACGTTGAAACCACCATCCGCAATGAGCAGCCTGACATTAAAGATTATGAAAGGTTTAGACTTGAACCTAGATCTTGTGACTCCCAGGCTTCTTCTCAGTCTAGCCTCCTTGCTGTATATTTGAGCCTCATAATGATTTTGTGTAACCAGCATCTACGACTTTCTCATTTTCTAAACGGCAACAAAAGCAACTAACAGGGATTATTGTGGAGGCCTAAAATGATGCTGAGAATACAGGTACTTAATATGTTTTTCATTTAATAAAGAACCTTTAAATATAAAAACTTGTTAAGTTAATGATACCACACTTCTTGGCTTTTTTTCACACAATTTTTATAATCTTTCATTTGGCCTCACCCAGTTTCTTAAACTTTTGAAATAGTTAAGATAGGTTTAGGTTAGATCTCCTGTGAGTCTACAAGGCAAGTTTCAAAGTAGGGGAGGTTCTAAGATCTTGCCCTTACTTCACGTAGGTTGGTTTAAACTAGGTCTTTCGGTAAAGCAAGTCAGCATATGGCCCCAGGTTTCCTTTGTCCCCCCCAAACTCAGCAGTATCATGTTCATGGAGCAGAAACCATTGGACCTGGAAGGTTAGATGGTCTTTCTATTGATATGAGGATATAGGGGAGCTTAACAACATCACCAACAAATAGGATCTAATTGACATTTACAGACCACTCCAGAAAACAACAGCAGAATTATTTTTAAAAGCCTATGGGACATTCACTAAGATAGACAATATCCTGGCCTATAAACAAAAACAAAACAAATTAAAAAAATCGAAATGGTATAATGTGTGTTCTCTGACTACAATGGAATAAAACTTCAAATATCAAAAATAACAGAAAAACCACGGAATACTTGGAAATTAAATACCATACTTCTTAATGGGTCAATGAAAAAGTCTCAAGAGAGATTTTTAAAATACAATAAACTGTGTGAAATAAATACAACATTTACAATTAGTGGGTCACAGCTAATGCAGTGCTGAGAGGGAAATTTATAGCATTAAATGTTTCTATTAGAATAGGAAAAAAGTCTAAAGTCAATAATCTAAACTCCCATCTTAGGAAACTGGAAAAAGGGATGTGAGGGTGATCTGGCTGTGACATCTGTCACCCGAATGATTGCCAGGGTTGATTCGGCTGATCTGGCTGGCCAGGCGGGTGTCCCCTTCCTCCCTCAACGCTCCATGTGCATCCCTCCTGATGCTGCACCCTCAGTCAAAGACGACAACCTTCCCCAATAGAGGAGGACCTTTCTTCAGTCAAGGGTATACGAGAGTAGCTGCGCTCCCCAGCTAGAACCTCCACACAAGCTCTCAAGAAATTAGAAAAACAAGAACAAAATAAATCCAAAGCAAAGGAAAGAAATAATAAAGAGTAGTTATCAATGAAATAAAAAACAGAAAACCAGAGAAAAATCAATGAAACAAAAAGCTGGTTCTTTAAGAAGACTGATAAAATTGAAAACCTCTTGTAAGACTGACCAAAAAAAAAAAAGGACACAAATTACAAATATCAAGAATGAAAAAGGGCCGGGCGCGGTGGCTCACGCCTGTAATCCTATCTCTCTGGGAGGCCAAGGCGGGC